CCTAGCTACCTCCGAGCCAAATAGTGTCTGGCACTGTACCAGCGCTCCTCCTGATTGCGATGGTTAAAGCCCCGTGTTGAAATCACTGCCTTAGTCCATCTTGCTGAGGAACTTCTTGATTTTTGCTGAGCTCTGCTTTCCCAAACATGATGTCCTCTTCAAGAACTGGTTTCTCCTGATAATGTGTCCAAAGGATGGGAGAAGTCAGGCCCAGGGGACTTCTAATCCGAGGCAGACTTTTTTTATTTTGTACCAGTTAATTTTTCATGAGTACCATGTTTCATGAGTACCAGTTAATTGTACCAGTAGTTCTGTGAATATTGGTAGACATAAGCAGAATTTAATTTCCCCAACTCTTCTTTGGTTTTCCTTATCATTGCCCAGCATTCATGAGTATGAGGCCATTGAACATCCCATGGCTTGGGTGAGGAGCAACTTAGTCCCCAGAGTGACATTTGTGATCTGTGCTCCTAACACTTTAAATAGGTCTTGTGCAGTTGATTTCCCCAATGCAATGTGTGTGTGCGTGCGTACGTATATATACATATATATATATACACGTACACACACACACACACACACACATATATATATAATTTCTTTAAACAATAATGTGTGTGTTTAGTGTGGATATATCTATGAAACACAATTCCAAGAAAATTTCCTATGCTTCAGGTCTAATAAATACATTTTAAAATAAAATGAGATATTTACATTGTCGATAGGAATAATAAAATATATTGAATTAATTAGAAAATCTGATCTCTGAGAAACCAAGGAAGATTAAAGCACAATTGAAGCAACAGGCTGAACAAATATTTTGAATGTTCTTAATCTAAATCAAATAAGATACATCCTGATTCAAAATCAATATAATGAATCAACCTGATAAAGAAAAGTTGCATTGGGGAAAAAAGCTTGCTTACAATGTTTACATTGAGCTCGGGCTGTCAGACTGATTCCTGCCATCTTGAGGGGTATATTTCCCAAGAACTCTTTCCTAATTTACTCCTTCATTCAAGTGAATAAATGTAAAATGGGAGAAATGAAAGTGAGCAATTAAAGTTTAATTTATTCCAATTTCTACTTATGTTGATTTGCTTTAAAAAAAATAAGTTATTTCTGTGAAATAAATCAAATTAAAGCTGCATTTGAAGTTGATTTTTAAATGCTGTAGACAGATTTTTTTACTCACAGACATTCACTATCATTAAGTTTTAGAGTATTTAGCTTTATTAAATCTGAAATTTTCATATTAAAAAATTGAAATATTACACTTCATACTAAAGCAGTTTTCACAACTCTGGTTTCACTTTAGAATTACATGATGAAGCCCATCAGACGCCCAGTTTCCATGGACTGAACAAATTGTCTTAGTGGGTATCCATTTATAATTAACTATAATAAAAGTGTACAGAACCTATCTGCAATTATACATTTTTCACATGTACAAGTTGATAAAACACATTACATCAATCATGCACAATCCTCACCAATATCTGTTGCCAAATTAGAAATCCCCATAAACAAAAACTCGATGATACCTAATCAATGTCTCCTCCCTTTTCTTGTTTCTCTGGCCCATGGTAATCAGTATTAGACTCTGGTCTTCATAGATGTGCCTACTGCAGGGATTTTACACGTGAGACCATGCGGTTCTTGTCTCGTCATGTCTGACTAGTTGTAATCAGCATAATACGTTCATTGTCCATCTATGTTGTTACATTTATCAGTGCTTCATTTCTCTGTCAGAGAGTACATTTGCATTCCAGGTACACTCTACATTTCATTTTAAATTAGGCAGCATTGTATGTTCAAAATCACAAAAGGTGTGTGCCAGGGTTGCGTCCTTTACCATATGTATTCAAGCAATCTGCTGAGCAGATAATCTGAGTAGCTGGACTTTGTGGAGAAAATCTTGGCATCATGCAATTGGCACAACTTTGCTTGCGGAAAGAGTCCCCGGTCAGAGGACTGAAAGACTTGCAGCGTTGATAAAAATCAAGGGTTCCAGTCTTTGATCTAGACTCCAACTCAATAAAAAGAAAATCAAAATCCTCAAAAGACTAAGGTGTCATCATAATAACAAGGGAAAGATTAAAGTGGCCAAGGATTTCATCTTGCTTGGATTCCCAATTAATGTCCATGGACATTAATGAAGCAGTGGACAGGAAATCAAAAGAGGCATCGTATTGGGTACATTTTCTGCACAAGACTTCTTTAAAGTGTTGACAAGCAAGGACGTTACTTTGAGGGCTAAGGTGTGCCTCGCCCAAGCCAAGATATTTTCAACCAGCTAACTTGTATATGAGAATATTGGGCATTGAATAAGGAAGGCAGAAGAAGAATCAATCCTCTTGAATGATGGTGCAGAGTAGTTAAAGTACAAAGGACTCCCAAATGAACCAACAAATCTGTTTTGAAAGAAGGCAGTGCGGTCAGATTGCTTGGAGACAAGGATGGCAATACTTCATCTCACATACTTCACACATGTTAACCCGAGAGACCAGTCCCTGCAGGACACCATGCTCGCTAAAGTAAAGGTCAATGAAAAAGAGGAAGAGCCCGACCAAGATGGATTGATATAGTGACTGCAACCGTGGGCTCAAACCTAAGAACAATTGGGAGGAGAAGATAATGTTCTCTTCTGGTGGAGGGGAACTGATTTGACAGCAACGAAGAAAAACAAAACCCACCACTCGTTTGTCCGTTTGTGGCACCACGTTGGCTGTGGGTTGTTGTAATGTTGGAAGCTTTGTCACCGGTATTTCAAATACCAGCAAGGTTACCCAAATTGAGAATTTGCAGCCATTTACAGCCTATGAAGAAGGAATTCCTCTTTTGAGAAATTAGCCACTGAAAACCTTAAAGACAACATCGAAACGGTGTCGGAGACTGAAAACCTCATGGAATAGATGCCAACCTAAGAACAGTTACCAGGATGGCTCAGGACCAGCCAGTGTTCCATTCTGTTGTACTATGCGTGGCAGCCGACTCGACGGCATCAGACCCCAAGACCAACAACACAGTTTCAGTAGTTTAGAGGAGGCTAGTTCTAGTGGCTTAGTGGTTGTGCATTCCACTGCTAACCCCAAGGTCATCAGTTAGAAACCACCACTTCCTCCACAGGAGAAAGACAGGGCTTTCTACTTCCATACACAATCCCGGGAACTCACAGGAACAGCACTAGACTGTCCTAGGGGTTATTCTGGGTCAGCGTTGACCCACTAGCAGTGCCGCTGGAGCTGGATGACTTTTCTGATAGACTTCTTTATTGAGTTATTATGCTACAAGTAGCTGCTATTTAAGCTATGTTCCAGCAGCACACACATGCCATGTGAGCTTCTTAGATAATACAGACTCTTGGACCCTTTGCAAGATCAATTGGATCAGAGGCAGCATTCCGACAAAATTCCCGTCACTTGAATGTACTTTGAGGTTAGAAAAGATTGACCTAAGATATGCACCTCGTTTTAAACACACCAATATTCTTCTTTGAGATCAGCAGAGTCTGGCAGACAATGAAACACGAATATATATATAGATATTGATTGATTGATTGATTGATATTTCACGCATGCACTTTTGCTTATTGGAATATTCCACCATTCTCTCAATGCAGTCTGAATCCACTTATTTTGAAAGGCCAGATTTTACTAATTGAGCGTGCTATTGGCAGTTATAGAATTAGAGCGAGACAAGCTGTTAATCATCTTAAAAATGGATGCCTCGGGAACTATTTGAAGCTTCTTGGCTGAAACATCTTGCTTCCATTGCCACCACACCACACTCTACTTGAAAAGCAGCACTTTTGTTTTGCAATAACTCTTTCTTTATGACTCTTGGTTTAGGTATGTTAACATATGTAAGTCTACGGCTTCCAATATTGGGGACCTAAAGCTCTTTCTGAGCCCTGAGCACTAATGCTCTTTCTCAGTACCATTCCCATAAACCATCATGCATTTTTTTCACCCACTTCAATAATATGTGATTGCACTTTGAATTTTGGGGTGGAATTTTTAAGTGATGCTCAAAATAAGCATAAATAAAAATGTGTATTTATCATCCCAAGATGTTAGTGTAATTGACAGGCTTCTTTCTCTCTGATCAGTCTGCACGTCTTTGGAAAACATTCAAAAGTAGAATTCCTTATGAAATAATAACATCAGAATTTCTGGGGAAAAGAATTGGGTGCTGATACTTCATAATCTTCCCCCCAGAGAATGCTGATATATGGAGTAAGGAGGATAAAGATTATTTGGTTATATAGAGAGTATATGGATATAGAGAGTATAATCAGGATAAAGAATATTTACCAGAGTACTGATAAAAAGGTGTTTTCAAACACCAACATAATATACTAAAATAGATCATTCTCAGTCCAGATGATTGCATTTGCCAAAATATCCTTTAGGAATATTCTAATCAGATCAATGGCTTTAAAGAATAATTGGAACAATTGATTTGATTTGAATAATTTATCATTAAATTTGCCAAAAATATTGTAAAAGGTATTTTTAAATTAATTTTAAACATTGATCTGATTCAGCTAACTAGCAAAATTATTTATTGCATCTTATTTTATTCAATATTTAGTTGTGCGGAACAGAAAATATAGCATATATTCATAATCAAATATTTTTAATATCATCCTTTTATTCTAATTCTACATAGCCATCAGTATTATTTTAACTGTTTTATTTTAATGTGTATGTGCATTTGTAATTTGCTTAAAAATCCAATTAATAAGTTTTCCCCTTTATTTTAGTTGGGGTTGTTACCAGCCCCATTGTATGAAACCTATAACAAATGTTAAATGTATGTTGAAATATAATAAATTTTATATTGTGTCTCAGCTTATCCCTTCGACACTCAGCTGCCTATATAAAGAAATAAAACTAAATTTTATCCGCACAAAATAATTTTAGCATATAGTTTCTTATCAGTGGTAAAATATATACCCATATGATAATAAATCACTGTTATGACTTTTTTGCCAGGGGTATGGTGGCTATATTGCATCAATGATCTTAAAATCAGATGAGAAACTTTTTAAATGTGGATCAATAGTGGCACCTATCACAGACATGAAGTTGTATGGTGAGTATTTTCCACAGAGTGGCCTAATGCAATGTCTAAATTCATAGAAAATAAAATGCAATGCAGAGTAGTACATCAAGTCTAATGATGATAAATAATGTAGATTTTTAACTCATTTTACAAAAATATCATTACATATGATTAAATTATTACAAGTATTAAATTTTGATCAATTTAGCAGTTTAACAACTTCCTCATTAAATTGATCTTATTGGAATATGAAAATTAATGTGAAATATAAATTTTAAATTCTGAAATACACTAATAAGATTGATTTTAGCTAATTCTTAATATCTGTTTTTTGGGGTCACAGCTTCAGCTTTCTCTGAAAGGTACCTTGGTATACCATCGAAGGAAGAAAGCACTTACCAGGTACATAATTTTAAAATGACAAAAAGAAAAGTATTTTTGTTTTAAATATCCAGTCAAATTGCATGTACAGATCTCTGTACCTAGATATACCTGTGCCTTCATTTATAGGCATCCAGCGTGCTACATAATATTCATGGCTTAAGAGAAGGAAACCTACTGATAATTCATGGGACTGCGGACAGTAAGTATGATATTCTGTGCTACTGCTTGTTATCATTTGACATTGTACAAAGGGCTATAGCTAAGGACTTCCTTCAGCGAGCTCTTGGAAACCTTCTCAGTGAGTAATCGGAACAGATGGCACAAAGGAACAGATGGATGATCTTGCAAAAGAACAAAGCAGCAGACCTCCGGAAGTGGGAGGAAAGATTCCTACTATGAAGAAGAGATAAAGAAACCTTTGAAAACCCATGTTTTTCATTTGTCTTGTCCAATACCATTGCCACTGGTCACATGACGTTCTTATACACGTGAAAAGTAGGAAGTCTGAGTGAGGAACTGAATTTTTCACTTGATTTCATTTAAATTAATTTACATTTGCATAACCACTTGTGACCAGTCGCTATCATATTATTCAGGACAACTCTAGTGGACCCCAGCCTGGAAGCTAATACGGGAGCAGACATATATCCATTCTGAGGTGAAATTCTCATGACGCTGTGCACTTGATTGAAGTAAAAACAGTGTTTTATAAAAAGTCATTTTTGCAACACTTCTTCGATTTATCATGTTATACTTTGGAGGTACATGTGATGGATATTACCAGTTTAAAATTATATCATTTTATATCCACTGGAAGCACTTAAGACTCTAAGAAATTGTATTTGTAGTATCCCATGGGATACCTTACAAGAGGAGATGAAGTATTTATAGGCCCATTCAGGATGAGAAAAATAAATTTCAAGGTGAGAAGAAAAACTGATTTATCCACTGCCACCTGACAAGTAAGCATGACAGTCAAAGATTTGGCTTACGAAGTCCTAAATCTTGAACTTGTTTTCATTGCCTCGCAATGTCTTGACTTAATATTTTTAGTCTGATTTATAGACAAAATCAAAGTTAGCATATCAAAATTAGTATATAATCAGTTCTTGAACTTAACTCTCAAGCATGTTAGGCAGTAGTAAAATTCCAGCTAAGTTCAGATTTTAAAAAATAAATGTTGAACAAATAAACAAAGATGGAATAAGAGACAAATATCCCTAAATTGAATTTTTTTTAATTTTATGGAGATATTTCCTTTCAACGGAATTGGGGTTTCTTTCTCCTCCCTGCCCATGAGTTTGAATGCACTTAGTCAATTGCTAAAGGAAACTAGTCTTAGGAAAAAAACAACAACTTTGTTTTATAATAAACACAGTGTCATCCAGGTGATACAGATTAGCATGCGTGATCATATGCACCTTTGTGATGAAGTGATGAGAATGGCATTTTATCTCTGTACTCTTCCTCCTAAAAATCCATGCCACACACTAACCTGAGAGAAACACCAGACAAACAAAAGGCACATCATCCTGAAAGCAGCCTTGTGTAAGATATGACAAAAATATATAATTTATAAATTATCAAGGGTTCATTAGGGAGGGAGGGAAAAAATGAGGACCTGATACCAAGGGCTCAAGCAGAAAATAAATGTTTTGAGAATGATGATGGCAAAAAATGTACAAATGTGCTTGACACAATGGATGGATATACGGATTGTTATAAGAGTTGTACGAGCCCCCGATAAAATGTTTTAAAAAATCAGCCTTGTCATCAAAAGCAAAGAAACTCTCATAAACGTGAGAAAGTTAAAGACATGTGACAATTAAATATAGTGTGATAAACTCAATGCAAACCTGGACAGAAATGGACATGATAACACAATTAGTGAATTCTGAATCAAGAATAGAATTTAATCAATAGTGATCTACCAATATTTGTTTCTTGATTACCAAAAAACAAACCCTTTGCTGTCCAATCCAAGTCATTGGCACCATGGAGGATAGAGTAGAACTTCCCCATAGAATCCTCCCAGAAGCCAACTTCCAGAACTTTTACCCATAGAATAGCGAGTGGGTTCAAACCACTACAAGCCAAGTCCTTCCACCACTGCACCACCAGATAGCTTAAATTACCATAAGAATATATTTACAATAGTGGATATCATATAGGGGAACACTTATCTACTATCTTTGCTAATTGTTTAAATTTTTAAAAAAATTTTAAAATTGAAAAATATTATTGACACAACAGTCCACCCATTGTTGTTGATAAAAAGTAATGACTGAGATCAGAAAAGTTGTGAATGACATTAGAATTTTGCCCTAAGGTATTAAGATATTACATGCCTGGGGATAGTAACTGCATGAAAATGACAGCCACAAAAAACAGATGCCATCCGGTCAATTCTGACTCCAGGTGACCCTGTGGTAAGGATAGAACCTTATGTCATAGGGCTTTCAGGGCTCTTACCTTCCCTGCAAGGTGCCTCCATGTGCGTTCCAATGACTAACCTGTGGTTAGTAATTGAATGCGTAACAATTTGCACCATGTAGGCACTCCTCCTGGAGCCCTAGCTGCATAGTGGTTATGCATCGGGCTGCTAACTGCAAGATCAGCGGTTCAAAACCACCTGCTACTCTGCATGAGAACAAAAAAGGAATTCTACTCCTAAAAAGAGTTATAGTCTTGGAAACCCACAGGGGAACTTCTTCCTTGTCCTATGATATCATTCGCTATTAGTTGACATCTACTTGATGACAGCGAGTTTGAGTCGTTGTGTTTCTTTGTTAGTTTTTTTGTTTTCAAAAATTGCCAGCGAACAGTTCAGTTAGCTCATGAGGCTCTAGCGCCCTTATTCAGGAAGGGGTCCATCACCAATAGGGAAAGGTCTTGTACCGGAAACTGAGAAGAAGAATTCCATCTAGAAAATTAAAATGTAGGATGTTTCTCTTTTTCAACAGTTTCCACACAGAATTATGTGTATATCTGCCATAGCAAACGGATTATATAGTAACCTTGTTACATTAGTCATTTGTGCTATTAAATAGCCTCTCTAGAACATACATGAAGAAAAAAACAGTGTAGCAATCTGCTTCTGTAAATATTTGCAGCCTAGGAAACCACGCGAGGCAGTTCTAGGCTGTTATACAGACAGGCTCACAATGAGTTGGTATCCAATTTAAGGTAGTGTTTTTCATTTGCTTGGGTTTTCTGTGTTTTGTTTTAGGCAGCTGAAATTTATGAAACAAGTTTTACGTATTTAAATAGCTTGTGGTAATTGTCCCATTAAGTACAATGTTGAGATATTATAAATGGTCCTACCATATTTTCACACACATACACACTAGCCAACAATAAGTCACTGTTGTCAAGTGTCTGCTAACTGACAGCAACCCTGAGTAGTTGTTTTTCATATGGCCAGAGGAGTGTGTTTCCTACGACTGTAATTTTTCCAGAAGCAAACTGCGGTACCATCCTCTCACAGAGTGTACAGTGGGTTCAAACAACCAGCCTCTTCAATGAGTAGCCCAGCTCTTTCATGACTATGCCCACAGGTCACTTTTTAGGCATGTTTTTCAAAGAAAAGATTCAAATAATTACTTGGAATTTCTTATTGTCATTGCTACATAGCATTAACCACATTAATGGCACATAATGTGGAGCTCACCAGATGGCATTCATAGGAATCAAATTGACTCCTTCCAGAAAAAGACAGTGGATAAATTCAATGTGAGTAGTTAAAACAAGGCCAAGGGCTGACTCTGGAAAAGACCATCGATTGCTCCTATGCAAGTTCAGATCGCTGCTGAAGAAAATTACAGCAAGCTCTGGAGAGACAAAATACAATCTTGAGTCTATCCCATCTAAATGTAGAGTCCATTTCAGGGATACATTTAATGCATAAATACTAATTGGTGAAGACCAGATGAGTAGTGGGATAGCATCAAGGATATCATTCCTAAAGAAAGGAAATCTTCGTTACAAAGACAAAAATTAAAGAAAAGGTCAAAGCAGATGCCAGAAAAGACTCTGAAACTTGCTCTTGAAGATAGCATAGATAAAGCAAATGGAAGAAATGATGGAATAAAAGAGCTTAACAGATATTTCATGACAGCTTGAGAAGATAAACTACAGGACTATAACGAAATGTGAAAAAACAAGATGTTAGTAAAGCAAAAGGGATAGCATACAAAACACTCAAGCTAAAATAAATGAAGAAATAATAATTTACGCCTTGAATGACATTCTGGAAGGATACAACCTGCAAAATTTTGAATTATGCAGGAAGCATCAAAAATATGGAAAGAAGACACAGCCATTGTACCAAAAATAATTAGTCAACATACAATATTCTGAAGAGGTATCATATGATTAGTAATAACATGATATTTCAGGAAGAAATCCAAATGCATTGAAAGAATTAGTCAGCAACGATAGAAATCATGGGGGAATGGAGACAGCGGTCAGCGTATGATATGAAAATAAGAATAATTTATAATTTATTAAGGGGTCATGATGGCGGGGGGGAATGAGGAGCTGATACCAAGGGCTCAAATAGAAAGTAAATGTTTGGAAAATAATGATGGCGATATATATATACACATATGCTTGATACAATTGATGTATGGATTGGTATAAGAGCTGTAAGAGCCCCAATAAAATGATCTTTAAAATAAATAATAAAATTAAATTTAAATAAATATGAGAAAAACAAAACTCCAGTAATTACTGGAATACTAATTGAAGTGTTTCAATAAGCTGATACAGTACTGGAAATACTCACTGTTCTATGTTAATAAATTTGGAAGACAGCTCCCTGGCCAACCAATTGGAAGAGATCCAAATGTGTGACCATTCCAAAAAATAAAAAGTGGCCCAACAGAATGCAGAATTGCCCAAATAATGAACAATATCATTAGTATCACATGCAAGTAAAATTTTGCTTAAGATAATTCAGCAATGGTTACATCAGTTCTTCAACAAAGAATTGCCAGAACTCAAGCAAAATTAAGCAGAGGACTTGACACAATGTATATCATCGCTGACATCAGCTGGATCTTAGCTGAAAGCAGAAAATACCAAGACGATGTTACCCATGTTTAATCGACTATGCAAGGCATTTGGTTGTGTGGATCACAACATACTAAGGATAGCATTGTAAAGAACAGGAATTCCAGAACACTTAACTATGCTCACACAGAACATGTACACAGAACATGTACAAAAACCAAGAAGTCGTTCTTTGAACATATCAAGAGATTATTACATGATTTAATATCAGGAGAGGTGTCTGTCAGGGCCGTATTCTTTTCACATATTTATTCCATCCGTATACAGGACAATTAATCTGAGAATTCAGATCATATGAAGAACTGGGCATCAGGATTCGAGGAAAGCTTATAACCTAGGATATGCAAGTGACACAACCTTGCTTGCTGGAAGCAGGAGGGTTTCAAGCACTTACTGATGAAGTTCCCCATTATAGCCTTCAATATGGATTACAACTCACTGTAAAATAAAGAAAAAGTATCCAACAGGACCAATAAGCAATATGGTGACTGGAGAGGAGATCTAAGTTGTCAAGGATTTAATTTTCCTTGGATTCACAATCAATACTCATGGAAGCAACTTTCAAAGGACACATTGCATCAAAATCTGCTCCAAAACACCATTTTAAAGTATTACAGAACAAAGATGTCAATGTCACTTTGCGGTTTTTTGGTTTCCTTTTGTCGTTTTGTTTTGCACAGCCTTGTTTTTGTGTTTATTATTGTCTCTGCGTGTCTATCTAGATAAGATAGGTAGGACAAACAATCCAGAGGAGAAAACAATGGACCAATGATTCCTGGGGGACATGGGAAAGGGGGATGTGGGGGAAAGGAAGTGGGTGTTTACAAACCTAGTGACAAGGTCACAATAAGTGATCAATGGCAAGGAGGGTGTAGGATATCTGGTAGGGCTTGATCAGGGCAATATAACAGAGAGGAATTACTAAAACCCTAATGAAGGCCGAACATGATAGTGGGACAAGAGGAAAGTAAAAGGAAATAGAGGAAAGTACTAGGAGGCAGTGGGCATTTATAGAGGTCTAAATATAGGCATGTACATATGTAAATATATATATATAAATGGGAAATAGATCTATGTACATATTTTTATATATTATGTATCAAGGTAGCAGATGGACATTGGGCCTCTACTCAAGTATTCCCTCAATGCAAGAACACTTTGTTCTAATAACTCAGCATTCCTTTATGCTCACCTTCCTGACACAACCACTGAAGACAAAATGGATGCATAGCAAATGTAGTGAAGAAAGCTGATGGTGCCTGACTATCAGAAGATATAGTGCCTGGGGTCTTAAAGGCTTGAAGGTAAACAAGCAGCCATCTAGCTGAGAAGCAACAAAATCCACATGGAAGAAGCCACCAGCTGGTGTGATCATGGGGTGGTGATAATATCAGGTATCAGGCATCAAAGACACAGAACAAAAACATTATATCAATGTGAATGAGGGGGAGCAGGGAGTGGAGACCCAAAGGCCATCTGCAGACAATTGGGCATCTCGTTACAGAAGGGTCCCAAAGAAGAGATGAGCCAGCCAGGATACAGTATAGAACCAATGAAACATACAACTTTCCTCTAGTCCTTTAATGCTTCCTTCCCTGCCCCACCACTATCATGATCCCAATTCTACCTTACAAATCTGGCTAGACCAGAGAATGTACATGGATACTGATAAGAGCTGGAAACATAGGGAATGCAGGACCGATAAACCCCTCAGGACCAATAATAAGAGTAGCAATAACAGGAAGGGAAGGGGAGGGTAAAGGAGAAAGTAGGGACAGAGCACAATGATCTACATACAACCCCTCTGTGCGGGACAGACAACAGAAAAGTGGGTGAAGGGAGACATCAGTCAGTGTAAGATGTGAACTAATAATAATATTTGATAAATTATCAAAAGTTCATGAGGGAGGGAAAGTGGGTGGGGAATGGAGGGGGGTAAAATGAGGAGTGGATGCAAAGGGTTCAAGTAGAAAGTAGATGTTTTGAAAATGATGGCAACAAATGTACAAATGGATGCATGTATGGATTGTGATAAGAGCTGTATGAGTTCCCAATAAAATGATTTTTTTAAAGAAAAAAGTGTGCATAGCCCAAGCCATGAAATATTGAATCACCTCATAAGCATGAGAAAGCAGGGCAATGAAGAAAGAACCCAGAAGAATTGATGAATTTGAATTATAGTGTTGGCAAATACTATTGAAAATATCATGAATTGGTCAAGGGAGGTGCAACTCTTTGTTGGAAGAAAGAAGTACAGGCAGAATGCTCTGTAGAAACAAGGATGGCTTGGCTTCCTTTCAAAGCTAGGAGAGACAACTCCTTGGAAAAGAACACTATCCTTGGAAAAATATAATGTCGTGGAAAAATAGGAAGACCCTCAATGACATGTACTGATATGGTGGCTGCAACAGTGGGCTCAAACCTAAGCATTGTGAGGCTAGCAAAATACAGGACATTTTAAAGTTTTATGTAGGGCCGGAACCTACTCACAGTCACGTCACAATAACATGTAGTAAAATTAATCAATTGTAGTTCGAGTAAAGAAACTCAAACAATTGATAAAGCTGCCTGGGTTTTACAAAAAACTATTTAAATATATTCGTTTAAATTTTATTTACAAAGGTTTAAAGAGATTCAGAGAACAGGAATGACTAGCTCCAGGTCTCATATGAACAAACTAATGCACAGCGAATTTGAGGTGTCTTTATAGCTGGTTAGTGACAACCCTATAATACCAAATCATTGGCATACTTTATTTATTTTAGAGTTTGGAACTTTATTTCAGGTGTATACAGAGGAAAACAAAGAATCTAAGAGTACCTAGATCAATCCACATAAAGGGCCGCAATGAGTCTGAGTCAACTAGCTGGTGATGCTTTTTGTTGTGTGTGTAGCGAACTTTAGGTTTATTTTTGGTTTTTTGATAATGAAATGTGCTTGGAATTTTCTGTAGCATGGGTATTATTTTCTAATTTAATTTTAAGGCAGGATGCCCTTATCTGAGAATTTGACCTAGCAATCTGCAAGAAGGAAGAGAGATTCCATTTGTGTTATGGTATAAGATTTGAATATTTTTTATAAAATATGTAATCAATTAGAAATAATTAGCAACAGTCAATTAATTAAGTAAAAATACCATCCTATAAAATAAATATAGACATAATAGTTTCTCTCTATGTTTGAATAATGTAAAAATTCACCTTTTAGTCACTATATGTTCACTGGCCTCCTAGTTGCACCTAGGTACCATTATTTTAAAAGTAAAACAAAATAGTCAATCTCTTTGTAAAGAATGATATGAAAAAAAAAATCAGGCTCCAGTCAATTTACTTTGTTAAATATCATAATTTCATTTCTTGTAGCAAAAGTACATTTCCAACATTCAGCAGAATTAATCAAACACCTAATAAAAGCCGGCTTGAATTATACTATGCAGGTAAGTACTGTTTCAGTATAATCTGTATTTGTACTTGGCCTTTTGGCTACGATGTGCCTAACCCACTTCCTGTAGACATAAACCTGTTGATCGCCTCTACTTCTCAGAGAAGAAGGAGGTAACCCATGAATGGCCTTGCACCTTCATCTCATAAGAACTTTTCTTTGGACGGTTAGCCACACATTCAACTTTAGTGATTTGATAAATATATTTCTAAAATCTGATGCCCTCAATTGATTAAAGAGAATGTTTCTGGGGGGAAAGCCACATTTGAACTTCCGTGCTTTAGGACGATGCTGCTTCACCTTAGATCAGCTAGGAGTTCAACAGCAATTTACGTTGTAATCTAGTCAGCCCAAGGACAATGCTAGTTATGCTGCTGGTTAACGGTCAAAAGAAATTCAGTGGAGAATTCACATGGAGACTCATAAATGAACGGATTCCACTATAACCCATAGCACCCCAAACACTCGAGTGCTTGCAAATTTAAGCTCTAATACATATCCAAGCACATTTGATAGACATTTATTAATGACTTCTTTGTATACAATGATTGACCACTATGCCAAGATGGATCTCTAAAACATGCTTCCTACCAGCTAGGAGCTTTAATCTGGTAATCTTGGAAGTTATAGGAATTAAATTTATTTCCCAGGCATCTAGAAAAACTAAAAGTAAATACCAAGGTTTGGTAATGAAGGATGACAAAATAGAGGTTATAGATTATTGACTATACCAAAAACTATGTTAAACTTTGTTCGTATTTTGAGGTCAATTAAGGGCAATCTAAAAAAATGTTTTTTGTATACTCAGAATATACAGGATCTTAGCAGTAGTTTAAAGACAAATTATTTGTATACATGGGAAAGGACACAAAAAAGGGAAAGTCTGTTTGTTTATGAAATCCCATTTACTCTTTTGAAAACAAACACAAACCAAACTTTGGTTAATGAAATACTGATTAGAGTATACTTATCATTTTTAAATACTTAACTTATAGAAATTAGAGTTGAATTGGGTGAATTTGTTTTAAAATGTCGTTTTCTATAGGTTCTGTGTTATTGAAGCGAAAACAATGATCATTGGAGGAAAGGCGAAGAGCGGCTCTGATAACTTGAAATGTCTTTTGCCCTTCACTGCTTAGGTCTATCCAGATGAAGGTCATAATGTATCTGAGAAGAGCAAGTACCATCTCTACAGCACAATCCTTAGGTTCTTCAGAGATTGTTTAAAGGAAGAAATACCTGTGTTACCACAGGAACCAGAAGAGGATGAATAATAGACCCTATTTATATTGGACTGAAGGGGATATTGAGGCTCAACGACATCAAACCAAGAGACTGTAATATTGCAGATGCTCAGAATTTCCAAGGCAGCTTAAGGAGAGGACATGGGAACAGCACATTCAGAGACAAGGACTTACAACATGAATACAGGAGTCTAAATTGACTGTGTTGCCAAGGGTGCAGAACCTGTTTCTTTGTGGAAGGAAAGTCAATGGGTTGGTTTTCTGGGAGAAATTAGTTTTGCATTAAAGCAAGAACAGTGCATGTTTTCTTTTATTATCCCCCTGTTTGTTCTATAACTAGTTGCTCTCATTTTACTTTCCATGGCCATCATTATCCTTGCATATAATGCACAATTTATCATTAAATTAGCATCTGATCTCTGAAGGCTGACCTACAGTCTAGCTCTTTACTGTACCCTTTACAATAAGTGCAATTCTTTCCTTGTCTATTATTATGCTTCCGAAAATGTTCAGTTAATAAAAATACAGAGTATTTTATGTAATTTCTGTTTTTAAAAAGGCATTATTCAATGGGTCAAGGAACATGTAGAAATATGGATTTCAGCACCTTCTGAACTTTAGCTGCTTACCAATAGATACAGTATCTTTAAATCAGCACACAAGTGTATGCCTCACAATATATATACACACGTGTGCATATGCAGTCTCTAAAACTCTCTTTACATATTATTCACGTGAAAAAGAAAACATTTTGATGAATTACAAGAGATGCTCTTTTGCAGGCTACGATGGATGCTTTGTTTAATGAGCCAAATATGATGAAACATTTTTTCCAGTTCAAATTCTAGCTGTTGCTTTCCTATAAATGTTTGGGTTGTGTTTGGTATTGTTTCTAGTGGTTAATAGTTTTCTAGTTGCAATTTAATTTTTTGGATATGAGATCTTGTCACATGTAAATTAGATACTTCGATATTAAATTATAGTTTCTGATAAAGAAATTTTGTTAATGATGCAATGCCATTGAGTGCTATTTTGCTCTATTGGTGGAGAAGCCTTTTTTAAGATACTTAGTCCTTTACATTCTGTCTTTCGATGCAGAATCATTTCTCATTTTCATTGTGTAAGCAAAAAAATTTTATTTCATTTGCCATTTCCTATTTAATATGCTACGCCTGCCCGATACATCTGTTACTGTTTAACTTTAATCCGCTGATGAGACTATGAATTGAAATATTTTTTATTCATTGGCCAAAAGTTTTCAAATAGTGCCATTTGCTAATCATTTTGAATTGAAGGCAAACATGAATTAATCAATTCCTGTACTATATTAACTTGCAGTAGGAAGTACCTGAGAGTGAAAAATAAACTTGACTGTATAAAGTCAATTTACATCATGAGAATATTAACTTTCATGAATTAAGTCCCAGAGTAACTTCTTGCTACACTTAGGGATCTCCCAGAAGATGTCTAACAATTAGTAGCCAGCCTCTGCAATCCATCCAAAACTACATGGAAAACAATGTTTGTGTGGTTTTAAGAACATGCATAGAAACATGTAATCAAAACAACATGAAGAACCTTAAAAATATGGACTGTTTTTTTCAGTGCCTCATCTGTGTTGTAGAAAGGTCAGCCCAAATCCCTGGATATTCAGAAACATATGAACGACTGATTGGGGAGAGTACATTTCTACTAGATTCTTTGGAACTATGCCTTCCCTGTCCCAACTGGATTCACTTTAAAAGCAGAAGGGTTCTCTCTTTTGGAAGACATATTCAGGTCTTTTTCAGGAAGGGTAAACTTTTTTTCTGCACAAAATAAGTTGTAATGCTTAAAAGGAAAGTTTTTCCTGTTTTATTCTGATGGAAATTTCTTTCAGGCTGATTTAGTGTCCAACTGATTATTTTTAATCAGTGTTTTAAACTTCAATGATTAGAGTTTTATATGATGAATATAATGATGTTGTCTGAAGATGTGATTTTATTGGATGCCTATTTGAGTAACAAACATTAATCTTTTACTGTTCATTTTTTCTCTTGTTTTATTATCATTATCAGTGTTTACTTTTCAATTAATTTAATACAATTACTAATGTGACTTACATTTATCTGGAGCCCACGTTAACCTTAAAGACTAAAGATATCTCAAATCATGATATACACTTTAGTGAGTAAAAGAAAAAAACTTCATTCCCATGAATTTAATAATTGGTTTTAATAAATAAATGAATATAGATAAAGGGACCATTCACCAATACATAGTCACGAGATATTAAAGGTAAAGTAAAACCAAAATTTACCTTTATTTGTTTACCACCTGATTCTAGCCCTACTATTTCACTTGCAGTTAAGCATCCCTAAAGTTCCCATGAGTTCGGTGATAGTATTCTATCAGGAGATTGAGTTCAGTTCCCAGCCGATGCATCTCAAGCACAGCCACCATCTGCCAGTGGAGACTTGCACATTGTTATGATCCTGAATAGTTTTATTTAGCACAATTTTCAGACTAAAATGAACTTGGAAGAAAGGCTTGCTGATCTCTTTGACAATTTAGCAATGGGAACCGTGTGAATCACAATGTCTAAGGCCTCAGGACTGGGCTGCCCTTTTGACTCACAGGGGAGTCCTGAGTCAGGGGCTGACTCAAGTTCAAACAAAAGTTCCTCCAAAATCCAGCAGCAAAAGTGTTTTTGTTTTTCCTTAAATGTCAAGGACATTTCCCCCCAATAAAAGAGGGAAGCAACATTCAATGACTCACAGATTGAAACTTTTAAAGCTATTCTTGAGGGAAAGTGTAATTTTCTTTTCATTTTAATTCCTTCTATTAAGAAAGGTTATCTTAGGTGTGTTTCTGAACAGAACCGAAGGGAAGGGAAACCCTTCAAAGCATGAGATTTGGCTCACTCTAAACACACGGCTGTTTGCTGGGGATGTTTCTAATAGAACACACCACTGAGGCATCACACCTAACAGCTGTAGGTGTATTAGCATGAGATGACTTTCCTTCAAATGGTGAGTTTTGGAAAAAAGCTACCTGTTCTGAACTCACTCACTGAACTCAAAAGGCTCGTGGTGTTTAGAAAGAATCGTGTATATGAACCTCTACGTCTTTCCATACATCCTCTGACTATTCACATCATGTGGTAACCAGTCTTGCATAATATAATTTGACACCTAAGCGTTATTGTTTATCTTTCACCTTCTACCCCTGGGAATCAAGGATACCCAATACCAAGCACTTGCTAAAACCAACCCACTTGTTCTATTCAATAACCTATGTAAGTATGTTAACATCCCCTCGGAACCCATTAAATAAAAGTCAGGAGCGGGTGCTAAATGCTTCCCTTTGCCTTATTCTGCACATTCTACAATGAACTTGGAGAACTCAATGGGTCCCAGTCACTCACAACAGCATACATTTCTCTTTTGCTTTTTTCAATTCACTCTTCTTAGCCTTCTATGCTTCTTCTTTAGGATTATCCCCCAAAATAAACTACATAAGGGTTTCTTAGGTTCTATTGTCAGGTAAACTCTTATTTTCCATGAGAGTTTGCTACTATAAATATTATTATAGGAATGAATAAAACATTAATAAGAAAACCATTTTCGGGTCTAATAGGTTTTTCTACTTAAGATTTATGAGTAAGCATGTACTAAATGAGCTGTCAAATGTAACCTTGACAATGATTCAAAAATTATTAGTTAGCCTGCTTTTATTGAACTGGATATTGAGTTTCAGAAAATCAAGTACTTTGCACAAGGTTACTTAACTAAGAAGTAAATATACAAAAAAAAACAATTAACTTGCACAAGGTTATTCATAACCAAGAAGTAAATATAGAAAAAAAAATCAATTAACTTGGACAGGTTACATAACAAATAAATGTAGAAAAAATTTCAATGTAGAAGCTCATATTCTCGGCTACCATACATCTAAACAAGGGGTTTCATTTAAGCTACATCTTAGTCCATCTGAGAAAGGTTTGTGACTATATAAACAAATAGTTTCAGATGCTTTTAAGAATTATTTGAAGGGAAGAATATTAAGAGGTATATAATATCCAAAGATATATTAAACATGTTTGAACTTATATGAATTCCCTAATGTCAAAGGACAAATGTAACATTAAATGTGGACCCTTTATTTCTTTGGTTTATTTATTTTTATTTTTTTGACTTGGGGTTTTCTTTGCTTGTTTTTTGGTTTCTGTTTTCATTGTTTTGCCGCCTAGAAATATGTGAGAGTCCTTTCTGTTCTTGAAAGCAAGGATCATGACAAGATTCCTGGAAAATACCCCAGCCCAATCCAACTCAAGTCCACAAGTCTGGTTCTTGTCCATAAGTCCCACTTCAGACTCACCCAGCCATATGCAATGATGCAGAATGCAGGAAGATCACAAGCCAGCGAGTGCAGAGTTGCTTGCATCCAGTGGCTGTGCCGCATTATGGGGCTCACCCAGGTCTCAGCATGGCTCCTCAACAGGAGGTTGAAGGCAGAGAAAGAGGGGGAGTTTCCCAGGCCCCTCCTTATGAGAAGACCACTCCAACAAGGAGGCACCATCAGGCTGTGTCCTGATTGACAGGCTAGACCCCTACACTTTCATATATCAAGTTGACATGAAATTATGTAACTTCCACAGAAGGCAAAACACTATCCAGTCTTGCACCAGGCAATGTTTCTTATGTTTGAGTCCAATTTTACAGCTATTAGTCAATTCATCTCGTCTAGGGTCTTCCTTTTCTTTTCTTTTCTTTTTTACTGCCCATCTGCTTTGCCCACCATAATGTCCTTCTACAAGGACTGATATCGCTTGATAACCTGCCCAAAGTACGTGAGATGAGTCTCCCCATGCCTGTCTCTAAGGAGCATTCTAGTTGTACATTTTCCAAGAGAGATCTGTTTGCTCTTTTGGCAGTCCATGCTGCTTTCAATATTCTTCACCAGCACCGTAGTTCAAATGCACCAAATTTCTTCTTTAGCCTTCCTTAATAAACTCCAACTTACAAGTGCATATGAAGCAATTGAAAATACCATGGTTTGATAGATACAGCCTTAGTCCTCAAAATAACATCCTTGCCTTTCAATACTCTATATTCTATACTTTCAAGACTCTAAAGAGGTCTTGTGAAGCAAATTTAACCAAAGCAAGTTGTCCTTTGATCGCTTGACAGCTGTTTCTATGAACATTGATTTTGGATCCACGAAAGACGAAATCTTGACAACTTCCATCTTTCTCCATTTGTCATTATGATATCTACTGGTCCATTTGTCAGGATTTTACTTTTTTTACATTGAGTTGCCATCCATAGTAAAGTCTGCATTCCTTGATCTTATTAATCAAGAGCTTCAAGGTCTCCTTACTTTGTTTCTTTTTATTTAATTTTATTAAATACTTTCATTGGGGACTCTTACATCTTACATCACAATCCATACATCCATCCAGTGTGTCAAGCACTTTTGCACGTATGCTGCCATCATCATTTTCAAAGCATTCTCTTCCCACCTGAGCCCCTGATATCTGCTCCCCATTTCTTCCCCCTACCCCACACCCCCTTTTACGAACCCTTGATAAGTTATAGACTATTATTTTCATATCTTTGTCCTCCATCGCCCCTCACCCACTTTTCTATTCTTTGTTCCCCTGAGAGGGGGTCATAGGTTGGTCCTTGTGATCAATTCATCCTTTCTCCCCGCACCCTCCCATCACCTTCCTGTTATCTCTATTATCATTGTTGGCTCTGGGGGGAGTGGGGGTATCTATCCTGGATTCCCTGTGTTGCGGGCTCTTGTCTGTAGCAGTGTTCATGTTCTGGTCTAATCCGATTTGTAAGGTAGAATGTAGGTCATGATAGTGGGGGGAAGGAAGCACTAGAGGAAATCTGTGTGTTTCATTGGCCCGCCTTACTTTCTTTAAGCAAGGTTGGGTCATCTGCATATTGAAGGTTGTTAATAAAACTTCCTCTAATCCTGTTGTTGCATTATTTTTCACCTAATCCAGTTTCTCTGATTATTTGCTCAGCTTACAAATGGAATAATCGTGTGAAGAGGACACAGTCCTGAAGCATCCCTTTCTTGATTTTAACTCAAGATTTAAATCTCTAAATCAAGATGCATAATTCTTGATTGTAAATCCATTTTAAATCAGTAAGAATTATGAATCCAGAAAATTCCTTACAACATTTACAATCACAACAAGCAGCACGATCTTTCAGGAATTTCATATTGCCTCCCCATTTTCTACAACCGAAGAAGTATATTGCATGTAACCACTGATCAGAAAAAGTGACCCCCAAACACACTCTACATGAAATTTGTTTTAGACGTCCAGATAACTTTAAGATGATCAGATACAAACATCATAGGCCTTTGATACAACCCAACTTTTTCTATCAGGCCTCATGCTCTATGTGAGCTATGAAAGTTACTCATGGGGTAAGTGACATTGAGGCGATAGTATTCCATGCAGCTAATTTAGTTATAGAAAATAACTTACACTTGTTCAATGCCTTCTAATACTACAAACTTTGCTAGGCACTTAACCTACATTTTCTCAAGTAATTCTCTAATTAACTGTTAGATAGAAGGCATTGCTTTTTGGTGAAGAAAGCAGACTATAGAGAGGCCCAGCAATTTTCTTCCCTAGGTTTAACGGGGCACAAATGATAGAACCAGACTTGCACTCAGACTTTGAGGACCTCAAAGCCTTCTTATGTGATCATCACAGCCATGTATTTGTGTATTCATCTTGCATACATTTACATTTCACCCCTAAGTCAGCTTCCAAGTCCTTCTCAGTTCAATATTGTCACAAGATATGTCTGGTCACAAGTAACTTAATTTAAAATGAAAAGTAGCTTAAATACTTATGATTCAGTTCCTGGTCAGATTTTACATCCCCTGAATGTTTTTTACAATTGCAGACATTTAGGTACCATGCAGGCCCTTAATGAATCAAGTGGTTTTTTTATGAACATTAATGTTTAAAAAACATTAGTTAAATGGTAAGGATATTTAACATTTCATATAATAGGTGTATAAAAGGATGACTTTTTGATAGACTTCGTTATTGTGTAATTATGCTATAAGAAACTAATACTGAAGATATGTAGCAGCAGCATAAACCTGCCAGGTGAGCTTGTTAAAAAATGCAGAGTGTTAGACCCTATGCAAGATCAATTGGATTAGAAGCAACATTTTTACAAAGGTCCACTGTAACTTTAATGTCCTTTAAAGTTGGAAAGGATTGCTCTAAGAGATGCACCTCCTTTTAAAAACACCATTCTTCTTCCTTGAGATAATCAGACTCTGACAGAGAGTGAAACACTAATGTATAATTGATTTATATTTTATGTATGCAGTTTTGTTTATTGGAATATTCAACTATTCTCTAAATGCAGTCAGTTATATAAAAATCCAGATTTTACCAATTGTTTGCAACATTCAAACATTTCAAGACATAGCATATGAACAGGAACTGAGGGAATTGAAGGAAGAAGACATTAGCAAAATAAAAGAAACAGTGTAGGACACACCCATGTGTTTATGCTAAGAAATTTAGAAGACAGCTACCTGGACAACCAGCAAGGATAATTGGCACACATTCCATAAATAGTTGATTCAGCAGAATGCAGAAATAATTGAACGATGTCATTAATATCACGTGCAACTAAAATTTGGCCACAAATACTTTTAAAATACTTGTTGCTGTACATTAACAGGGAATTTACAGAAAGTCAAGCCAGACTCAGAAGAGGATGTAGAACGATGACATGGGTATCATTGCTGATATCGATGGATCTTGGCTGAAAACAGAGAACACCAAATAGATATTCATTCGTGTTTTATAATTATGCAAATGCTATCTACAATGTGGGTCATAATGAATTATGGATAACAATGAGAAGAATGGGGATGTTACTTAATTGTGCTCATTCAGAACCTGTGCATAAATCATGAGACGGTTATTTGAAGGTAAACAGGAAATAGTATGTGTTTTAATCATGGGAAATATGTGTGTTGGGCTTGTATTCTTTCACCATATTTATTCAATCTGAATGCTGAACATGTAAACTAAGAAGCTAATTTATACGAAGAAGAATGTGGCATTGCAATGGAAGGACTCATAAGCAATCTGCAATGTAAGGATGCAATCACATAGCTCACTGTGAAGAAGGCTTGAGGAATTGACTTATGAAAATCAAAGACTTCAGCTGTAAGTATGGATTACACCAAATAAATAAGAATCCTCACAACTGGACCCATAACCAACATCTTGATAAATTAAGAATAGACTGGAGTTGTCATGTATTTCATTTTACATGGATCCACAA